AATTTTTTCTTGCGTAAGGTCCAAGAACCCTCTCTTGGGGTCTGGATCAGGACCTTTTTCCAGTGACAGGCAGTCTCATCAATAAGCAATGTAGATAGATATAAACAGAAGAGGCTCAAATGAAAGCTTCCTTGGCCTCCTTTATTAAACTTCCAGTGAAAGCATATGGAGTGACCAGATAGTGTAAGTAAATAAGGATGAATGGGGACCCCGCCAAACTCATGACAGGGTAGGGAGGGACCGCTCTTTCTTTCCACCCACCTACTTAACTATCACTTACCTATCGACCTACCTCTTGTGTATGCAGGTCAAGCTCATCTAGAGGCCAGCAGCCCCACTTGGCAACGGCATCTCTAATTGATGCTGAGACACCAGGTATGTCGGAATTCTCACTGCTTGTCTCTGGCCCTCCCCCTCTTCTGGTCAGAGCTAACTTCCTGTAACTTGAGACTTTAAACCCTGTTAAATGCTAAATACTACTGAGAGAAGTGATGTTATTTTTTAGAAACAGACACTGCAAGCATAATTAAGGCCAGATACCTCCCTTGGAATAGGTTTTAGCTGGGCAAGGAGGATGGAGGCATGTGCACGAGGGTCCTTTGAGACAAGTTGGGAAACTGTGGATACACGAGGCGGGAGTCGCAGGAGCAGGGCTCAGCTTTGGCACTGCCTCCTCCTCCGCATTTCTGCTTCTAAGGGTGGGCCCCTAAAAGTCTTGCCCACATGTGTGTACTAAGTTCTCTTGCCTTTGGAATAAAAAGTAGAGAAAACTTCTGCCCATAGAACACCACTCTGACGCAGAATGATATTTTGGTTGGCAGAGACTTTTGCAGACTCCAACCAGCCAGAGCCAACTGGTTCGCCAGGTCACCCTTTGAGGCTCCCATGCTCAGCTGCAGGGCTCCCAGCAAGCGTTTTGATGTAAGGAATAGTGAGATTGTCTATTTGCAACTTCAAATACAATTAATAAATTATTCAATAGAAACAATGCATCCAACCTATTCAAATTATAATCTGACCTAGGATTTTCAGAGTGATACGTCTTTAAAAGCAAATGAAATAAAAACACAAAACCTCTTGGGAGTTTTATACAAAATAATCATCGATGCAAGAATAAGTATCACCCTTTTACAACCATTACAGCAATACAGCAATATGGATTTAGGCAACAATCATGGAAAGAATCTAAAACCATTAGGTAAAAGTTTGATGAGAAACATGACAGTTTCACAGTCTCAGATTATCACTTCACTATATATATATATTCACAACAAAGAAGAAATTGTAACTTCTCAGAAAAAAACTTGGCAGATACCACCTTAACTGAATGACAAAAATTAATATCACTAATAATGAAACGAACAGACATCACGTGCCCCCGATGGAATGCACGTGGAGCAAAAAAGAACCAAAGAAACCCCAAACAACAAATACTTCATCAAACAACTAGGCTACACTCTGAAAAATGTCAATATTGTCAAAGACAAAGGAAGGCTAAGAAACCCTTTCAGATTAAATATGACAAGAGACATGACATCAAAATGCCACAAGTGATTTTTTTTTTCCTAAAAAGTGCTGGACTGGAAAAATAGTGCTATAAAAGACATTATTGGGACAATTAGAAAAACTTGAATACGGCCAGACACGGTGGCTTACGCCTGTAATCCCAAGCACTTTGGGAGGCCAAGGCAGGAGGATCATTTGAGGTCAGGAGTTCGAGACCAGCCTGACCAACATGGTGAAACCCCGTCTCTGCTAAAATACAAAAAACATTAGCCAGGCATGGTGGTGGGTGCCTGTAATATCAGCTCCTGGGGAAGCTGAGCCACAAGAATCGCCTGAACCGCAAGACGGGGAGACTGCAGTGAGCTGACACGGTGCCACTGCACTCCAGCCTGGGCAACCGAGCAAGATTCCCTCTTAAAAAAAAAAGAAAGAAAAACTTGAATAGGAACTATGTATTAGAAAAAGTTATTACGTTTCCTGCATTTGGTCATTACACATTATTATTATGTAACAGAATGTCATTTGGTGATTACACATTATTATTCTGTACTAGAATGTTGTTGTCCTTAGGAAATATTTGGTTAAGCATTCAGGGGTGACAGTCGTGATGTCTACCATTTATTCTCAAACAGGCCAGCAGTAATAATAATTGGTGGTGGTGGTGGTGGGGTGTGTGTGTGTGTGTGTGTGTGTGTGTGTGTGAGACAGGGAGAGAAAGCTCAGGGCTGTGCAAATGTCAACAACTGGTGGTCTGCGTGAAGATTACATAAACATTCACTGCACAACTCTCAATCCTTGAAACTTTTCTTTAAGTTTAAATTTATTTCATTATTTTTTCTTTTGAGATGGGGTCCTGTTCTGTCACCCAAGCATGATCACAGCTCACTGCAGCCTTAACTTCCTAGGCTCAGGGGACCCACTTGCCTCAGCCTCCCGAGTAACTGGGACTACAGGTGGACACCACCACACTTGCTAATTTTTTTTTTTTGGCATGGGGCAGGGGGTGCGGTTGAAACAGGATCTTACCATGTGGCCCAGGCTGACCTCAAACTCCTGTCCTCAAGTGATCCTCCCACCTCAGCCTCCCAGCCTCCCTGGAATTACAGGCCGGAGCCAGTACACCCAGTCATAAAAGTTTTCCAAAGAATGTTTTTTTTTTTTTTTTTTTTTTTTTTTTAAAGATGAAGTTTTACTCTTATTGCCCAGACTGGAGTGCAATGGCATGATCTCGGCTCACTGTAACCTTCGCCTCCCAAGTTCAAGCGATTCTCCTGCCTCAGCCTCCCAAGTAGCTGGTATTATAGGTGTCTGCCACCATGCCTGGCTAATTTTTGTATTTTTAGTAGAGATGGGGTTTCACTACATTGGCCAGGCTGGTCTTGAACTCTTGACCTCAGATGATCCGCCCACCTCAGCCTCCCAAAGTGCTGGGATTACAGGCGTGAGTCACTGCGTCCAGCCAAGAAAGTGTTTTTATGTTAAAAGCGAAGGCTAGTATAGTTTTCAAAAGCCATTAACAGAGAAATAAAGGATAAAATGTTTTTAAACTTTCAAATTGTTTAGAAACACATTAAGTTTCAAGTACTTAAAATTACAGACGCAAAATGACAGTATTACAAATGGAGACAGTGGGTGTGTGTTTAAAATTTTTCGTTAACCTCAGAGGAGGCCATCAGTCTCTCTCTTGGCCACAAGAGCCATGCCACATTTTACTAAGTAAGGGATATAAACACGGAAAGAATGACTCTCCACAATTGAGGGGAAGAAGTACTACCCAGCCTAACTAGGGTTAGTACAAATTTGGTGAGTCACTTCCTCTTAGGAGGAAGAGCAAACATTTCTTGTTTCCTGAAGGATTTGGAGGGAACACCTGAGCTCTCAGCCTGAATCATGCTACATAAGTAATAAACTAGGCCAGGAAAAGCTACAGCCCATTCACTCGATGCTTCTACCCAACCATGGTACCTCCAAGTTCAAAATCAATGTCAACTTGAGTCTTTTTTGTCGATTTTAGCCTCCACATTGCTAGGTTCCTAGGAGGAGGCAAGGCACACAAAACAAAGAAAAGTTGATGGATGTACACAGTTATCCTCTCACCCTGAGTGGGCAGTGGCCTTGGTTGGCTGTGGTACATCACCCCTAAGGCTCCTCAGTCCAGAACCAAACCCACAAAGCCTCTTAAGTTTAGAATTAATTGTAGCTTTTTGGCAAAGCAGCCCTCCTCCCTGAACCGCCTGTGCCAGCAGCACACACACGTGGATGGATTAGGCAAAGCTGTGCTCTAAAGCACACACACGCTCTCCCAACGTGTGCTTTGCATTCCAGAAATACTTGATGCCTAAACCACGTCTATGCCTCCCTTGGCATGAACGTACAACTGGCTCCGCACCAAAGGAAGTGTCTGTTTAGAGACGTGGACTTTCTTTACATTTTTTTTTTACCACAGAAGATCACAAATAGAACATTCGAGCATCGTGATGATGCAAGAAAGTAGAAAAATAAAAGGTTTTAGAAAAAAGATTCGCTTTGTTTTTGTCTTATTTATGTTGCCTAAGAGAAATACTGGAAATACAATATGAAACATAAAATTAGCTTCCATGAGAGCAGAAATTATAGGGTCCAAGTTAGGTCAAGGAAGCAAAAATATTACCTTTACCAAGAAAGGCTGGGGATCATATGCCATTTTTTTAATACACACATTCATTGTTGTTTTAAGGTCACCTACCAAAATGAGGTGCAGAAGAGGGGTTTTTAATCCTTGATTTATTCTGGAACACAGCATATTTTATTTTCGTATCTTGCTTCTTGATAACTTTCATTGTATATTGAAAATTAACATAAAAGATGAAAATCTGGCCAGGCGCAGTAGCTCACACCTGTAATCCCAGCACTTTGGGAGGCCAAGGCAGGAGGATCACCTGAGGTTGGGAGTTCGAGACCAGCCTGACCAACATGGTAAAACCCTATCTCTACTGAAAATTCAAAATTAGTCAGGCATGGTGGCGCATGCCTGCAAGCCCAAGCCCAGCTACTAGGGAGGCTGAGGCAGGAGAATGCCTAGAACTCGAGAGGCAGAGGTTGCAGTGAGCCGAGATTGTGCCATTGCACTCCAGCCTGGGCAACAAGAGCAAAACTCCGTCTCACCGCCCACCCCCCCCCCCAAAAAAAAAAAAAAAAAAAAAAAGGAAAATCCATCTTGGTTAATGCACCTATCTTTTCCCCTTCTCTTTTATTTCCAGAGATTTATTTAGAGTTTATTCACGATAAGCAGTATAAAATCAACAACTCTTCACAAAATCCCTAGGCATCAACAATCGCATTCCAAAACACACTCTTAACCACCTAGATACATACAGACACATGCAACACGTTAAAGAAAATGACATCAAACTCCATAGTACATACGCACACGACCGCCTGTTTGACTTCCGTCAGCAGGGACCTAAAAGGCACCTTCTTGGAAAGTGATCCTGGACAGAGGGAGGAAGACTTACTTTCTTTCCACTTCTGGTGTTGACACGGCGCTACAGAAGCCGAGTGATTCCTACGAGAGAAGGTTCGTACAGTCAGTGTGGTCAGAGCAGCAGGCTTCTTCTGATTTGTACAGAGTATCACTTAAAAAAAAAAAAAGGGCAGAAGCAAAAGTAGATTAAAGTCATTGTGCTTACTTCGATCTGGGACCGCAGCTGAAGTGACGTGGGGCTGGCATCGGGTTTCTCCTAAAACAGAACAGATGCTGGTTTAATGGGACTTCCAAACATGTCACACACAAGAAGGACAAATAGACGCGTAAGGAGAGAGGGGAGGATTCGGGAAAGGTTGGGGTATAGAGTGGGAGGAGATGGCAGGGATAAACAGATTTTCTGGGAAACCCAAAATGCTTTTAAAATGAGAGCTATGGCCCCCTAAGATTGAACTATTTTCCAAACTTCACTGCCAGACGCTGCTGATAATTTTATTGGGGAAGAAAAAAAGCACAATTTCAGTCAAAGGAACGGACAGCTCATGGTGAAATAATTCTATGGATATACTTAGCTGATCACTAGGACACTGAATTTACTGCAACCCATTTGAGTTTAGCTATTTTCCAATGGCACTTGAGTTGTAATACAATTCTTAAGTTCTAAATGTATCCAGAGTACTTAGTAACTTAGGAGAAGTTGTTAATGTCTTTAGGAAGTTGGGAAGCTAACTGAATGTTACCTTGCAGCCTTAAAAATCACTATACTTCCATAACACAGACGAACTGACCTATCTAGAAATTTAAAAACAAACACTCTTAGTATCCAGCTGATAAATGAAATATAAAGACTTGATATTAAGAAGGCACTGAAATATCATTAAATTGTGAGATGCAGAAGAATCAAATAATTTAATGGACAAAACCATATAGTATAACACCCTTATTTCATAGTTCGAGGAGGCTGTATCGCCTTCGAAAGTAAAAGAAGGCGGGGCACAATGGCCCCGCCTGTAATCCCAGCACTTTGGGAGGCCGAGGTCGGTGGATCACGAGGTCAGAAGTTTGAGACCAGCCTGGCCCATCGATATGGTGAAACCCCATCTCTACTAAAAATACAAAAATTAGCCAGGTGTGGTGACACATGCCTGTAGTCCAGCTACTCAGGAGGCTGCAGCAGAAGAATTGCTTGAACCCAGGAGGCAGAGGTTGCAGTGAGCCAAGATCACGCCACCGCACACCAGCCTGGGTGACAAAGCAAGACTCCATCTGAAAAAAAAAAAAAAAAAAAAAAAAGAAAGAGAGGGAGAGAGAGAAAGTAAAAGAGAGTGATAAACGAATTACTCGTGATAAAAATAAATTAGGCAAATTATGCATTTTCACATGCATCTGATTGTTTAATGGCCCGTTTCATCATTAACACAATTATAAAACTACAGCAATACTTAAAACTTTTGTTGAAGTATAAAAGTAGCAATAAAGTATTAAAACATGTATACCTCAGAGCAAAGTTACACTTTTAAATAAGGAAGAGGAATCCAGCATGCATACAGAGTATCAAATGAAGGCACTTTCATGCAGGGCCTTCTCCTGCTCAATCAACAAGGTGCATGTGGCTGACAATATTGCACAGTACACTTGGGGAAACTGCTGGGAGTGTGAATTTTATGTTACGTAGTTTTTTTGGTTTTTTGTTTTCTGTTTTGTTGTTTGGTTTTTGTTTTTGTTTTTTTTTTTTTGCCACAATGATTAAGAAAGAATATGCTGGGATGAGTACCTCTGAGAATGGGATGGTTGTACACAAGTAGCCAGAAAGAGAAATGTGTTTTAATGAACAGGGATATGATGAACTGGCAACTCATTCATTCCCCAATCTCAGGCCCTTGTTTGTCATAAAAAGATGTCACAGTGGCACGAAAGCGCCACAGAACTCTCATTAACATCCTCCTTGTTTTTATCACTGCTGTTGTTCATAACGGACATATCTGTATTTCTGTACCAAACTTGATACATCATTTCTACCAAACAGTATATGGACAATGTTTTCAGTTATATATTCCAAGTGTGAGCGGTAGGATGCCAGGCTCAGCTGCAGTTAACAAAGGGGATATAGACTTTGGACATTTCTGGTGCTCAGAGACCAATCACAATGTCCCAGGACCTAACCTTTCCACCTCACATAGAGAAATTTATAAACTTAAACGGCAGGAGGTAAGCAAAAGTATCCTTAGCAATTTTTTAATCCTAAATCTTCCTATCTAGGAGCTGGTAAAGAGAACTCAGAGCAATGTTGAAACTAAACTGTTAGTACCTCTGAAATTTTTTCCGAAACTGCCCCTTTAACACCCAATTGCAGCCTATGATCTTCTGTAACCATCAGCAAAAATGACTCGTTCAATTCACCTTCCCTCCTCCACTTTTACCTTTTCTTCTAGCTCTAAGTTTCTACTTCACTAGTAAGTGATAGTCATGCGAGGAAACAATCTTCTTTTGTTATATCTGTTTATCTGCATTTTTAAAATACATTTTATTTGCCAAGAGCATCATTTGCTGTGTCACGTCCCAAATGTAACATGCCTGGTGTATTATCCAAAATGCACCTGTCCCTGCCTACAAAGTAGTTGCTTGTTAGCAACCTTATCAAATGTCTGATGATAAGGAAGCAACATTTTAATCATTTCATCTTAACATGTTCATTTGTTACCTATAACAGGCATTTGATTCTTTTAACTACTTAGACAACTTATTTTTAAAGAAAGAGGGTCTTGCTGTGTTGTCCACGCTGGAGTGTGGTGGCTACTCATGGGCATGATCATCACGCACTGCCGTCTTGTGCCCCAGAGCTCAAGGCATTCCTTGACCTCCTGGGTAGCTAGAGCTACAGTTCATGACCACCCCCAGCGTGTTTAGCTACTTTTCAGAAAATTGATTGGGGTTATAGTTTGACATATAATGTTAAAGTCATGGTTACAGGTGATGTTTTTGTGCAGAACACTTGTTTTATCTGCCGGGCGCAGTGGCACATGCCTGTAATCCCAACTACTGGAAAGGCTGAGGCAGGAGAATCACTTGAACCCAGGAGGTGGAGGGTGCGGTGAACTGAGATCGCACCACTGCACTCCAGCCTGGGCAACAAGAGTGAAACTCCGTCTCAAAAAAAAAAAAAAAAAAAAAAAAAAAAAGTTTGTTTTATCAAGGGCAGCTTACTAATGTTGAGCAGGAGATCTTGTATAGTGATATTTCGAGTAACTGATTTTTTTTTAAGACCAACCAGGAGAATATTTTTTTTCAGGATGTCTTATTAATTTTATCCACCAAGGATAAGAGATTACAGTTATCATTTAGATGCATGTCTTACAGCAAACACATTCTAAAGTAAAAATTTCCACAACTGAGGAGAAGGTTGTAAAGTAATCCACTAAGTTAAGGACCCATAAATACTTGGAGAAGAAAAAAAAAAAAAAAAAAAAAAAAAAAAAAAAAAAAAA